CCACACAGCAACTGCTTACTGGAAACATTGTGACAATACCGTGTGATTAACTCGGACATAAACTTAATTGAATAAAACATTTACACTGGCGAGGCCAGGACGTACGAAAGCCTAATGCTGCCACTTTTGTAGCATAAATATTTTTTTTCTACTACAATTCTCGTTGCTTCGAATATTTTATTCGTTACTTCGAGTATTTTCGCGTTACTTCAATAAGTTTCTCGTTACTTCAAGTTTCTATCAAAAACTTGAAATTTCAAATATTTTCTCGTTACTTCAAGTTTCTGTCAAAAACTTGAAATTTCGAGTATTTTCTCGTTATTTCAATAAGTTTCTCGTTACTTCGAGTTCTTTTCTCGTTACTTCAAGTTTCTATCAAAAACTTGAAATTTCAAATATTTTCTCGTTACTTCAAGTTTTTGTCAAAAACTTGAATTTCGAGTATTTTCTCGTTATTTCAATAAGTTTCTCGTTACTTCGAGTTCTTTTCTCGTTACTTCAAGTTTCTATCAAAAACTTGAAATTTCAAATATTTTCTCGTTACTTCAAGTTTCTATCAAAAACTTGAAATTTCAAATATTTTCTCGTTATTTCAATAAGTTTCTCGTTACTTCGAGTTCATTTCTCGTTACTTCGAGTTCTTTTCTCGTTACTTCAAGTTTCTATCAAAAACTTGAAATTTCAAATATTTTCTCGTTACTTCAAGTTTTTGTGAAAAACTTGAAATTTCGAGTATTTTCTCGTTATTTCAATAAGTTTCTCGTTACTTCGAGTTCTTTTCTCGTTACTTCAAGTTTCTATCAAAAACTTGAAATTTCAAATATTTTCTCGTTACTTCAAGTTTTTGTCAAAAACTTGAATTTCGAGTATTTTCTCGTTATTTCAATAAGTTTCTCGTTACTTCGAGTTCTTTTCTCGTTACTTCAAGTTTCTATCAAAAACTTGAAATTTCAAATATTTTCTCGTTACTTCAAGTTTCTGTCAAAAACTTGAAATTTCAAGTATTTTCTCGTTATTTCAATAAGTTTCTCGTTACTTCGAGTTCTTTTCTCGTTACTTCAAGTTTCTATCAAAAACTTGAAATTTCAAATATTTTCTCGTTACTTCAAGTTTCTATCAAAAACTTGAAATTTCAAATATTTTCTCGTTACTTCAAGTTTTTGTGAAAAACTTGAAATTTCGAGTATTTTCTCGTTATTTCAATAAGTTTCTCGTTACTTCGAGTTCTTTTCTCGTTACTTCAAGTTTCTATCAAAAACTTGAAATTTCAAATATTTTCTCGTTACTTCAAGTTTTTGTCAAAAACTTGAATTTCGAGTATTTTCTCGTTATTTCAATAAGTTTCTCGTTACTTCGAGTTCTTTTCTCGTTACTTCAAGTTTCTATCAAAAACTTGAAATTTCAAATATTTTCTCGTTACTTCAAGTTTCTGTCAAAAACTTGAAATTTCAAAAGTATTTTCTCGTTATTTCAATAAGTTTCTCGTTACTTCGAGTTCTTTTTCTCGTTACTTCAAGTTTCTATCAAAACTTGAAATTTCAAATATTTTCTCGTTACTTCAAGTTTCTATCAAAAACTTGAAATTTCAAATATTTTCTCGTTACTTCAAGTTTTTGTCAAAAACTTGAAATTTCGAGTATTTTCTCGTTATTTCAATAAGTTTCTCGTTACTTCGAGTTCTTTTCTCGTTACTTCAAGTTTCTATCAAAAACTTGAAATTTCAAATATTTTCTCGTTACTTCAAGTTTCTGTCAAAAACTTGAAATTTCGAGTATTTTCTCGTTATTTCAATAAGTTTCTCGTTACTTCGAGTTCTTTTCTCGTTACTTCGAGTTCTTTTCTCGTTACTTCAAGTTTCTATCAAAAACTTAAAATTTCGAGTATTTTCTCGTTATTTCAATAAGTTTCTCGTTACTTCGAGTTCTTTTCTCGTTACTTCGAGTTCTTTTCTCGTTACTTCAAGTTTCTATCAAAAACTTGAAATTTCAAATATTTTCTCGTTACTTCAAGTTTCTGTCAAAAACTTGAAATTTCGAGTATTTTCTCGTAATTTCAATAAGTTTCTCGTTACTTCGAGTTCTTTTCTCGTTACTTCAAGTTTCTGAAAGAAAGTTGAAGGAACGAGAAAAATACTCGAAACAACGAGAAGGGGACGTCCTAAAACTCGGGCCGGGCCGAGCCGGGTCAAAGTGGGCCAAGTATATAATTGGCTACAACATTGATTATCGAAAACCATGTCTACAATTAATTAATCCAGCTTACATCCATGGCAATATGGGCAGCAGGGAGACACACACATGTGTCATGATAACCTTATTACGAGTAAATCGCCTAAAACTCAGGAAGACGAGTGGCCTGTGAAAGTGACCAAGCAAGGTTATGTCTAAAAGAGAAGTCGTTCATTGAAACAGGATTCAAAACGTATAAATACTTCAGTCAATCCCTATATACATTTCTGTCGGCCCGCAAAGGATTTTACAGATACTGCCTCAGTTCACTGTTCATCGTATTTAAAGCATGCCCACAGGTAAATGATACGATCTTTTTCCCACACTTTGACAATTGTTCGGTTCTGTTTGGCCCGGGCCGTCAAAAGCTTCATAGATCTCACACACATGTATCTTGAATTTTTTTTAGATCCATAGATCAGTATTATATCTACCTTAATATAATTTTCAATGTTACAAAATGCCACATGTAAAGATAACTGGTCCGTTATTAAAGTGAAGCCCGTTTCCCCCTCCATTCCAAACATATCCAGCCTCTATCAAAAGTGTTAAGTCTATGACTTGTCCCGGGCCATAATAAGAAACTTAAACATCACACATGGATCCCGAATTGTAGATATATCTAGTTATAGCTACCTAAACCCTATTTATGAAGTCTCAGATTGAAGTAATTTGAACGATCACGTTGCTCAAGCAGGGCCCTTAGCCTCATTCTCCACATGTCACAAGTCATCGGACCACTGTCATATGAATCCCTGTTCTCATATTTGTTTGGTCTGTAGCGTTCCATGGCAAATATCAAACCGATACCAATCGAATGTTACCATTTAAAAAGTATGCCAGAAACACAGGCGAACAACCTGCCTAATATAAGGTAGTATTGTTGTGTTGTTGTTTTGTTAACCCCTTTCACGTACGAATCATAATACTATGTATCATTCACACTCCGATATGGTTGTCAACATATATATGTAGTATGGATGCACTCAGTTCGTCCGTTGCGTAGGTTTTTAAAAGTAAAGAAAGAAAAGACATTGCCCACGCAAACAAACATGAAATAATAGCGACAAAGCGCCTTCCATATCCATAAAAAAATCTCTTAGAAAAGCAGAGTCGATAGTAAACGTTCGGACTATATTATGAGTATTTGTAAATATCGAGTCTAGGCCAGACAATCCATTGGTGGACATAATGACAAAGCATATGTTTATGAATCACTAGATACCAGGTGTTCTCGAAAAGGTGTGGGTATCCTGTCCCACTATATGGACATCCTAGGGAATTGTTCACCTAGGAACGATTAGGGAACGTATGGTACAAGTCTAAATAGGGAACTGCAACGTGTACCATTTGTCACTGATGCAACACATTTTGAGAATGTTGCTACCTTCTGTGATGCAAGTATCTTACCTTCACCGACTGCTTAGTGGTGGCAGATAAAGCAGCTGTCAGTTGGGACAGGAAAGAAGAAGATATGGTTTTAAGAACAAATCAACATCTCGCAAGGGGAAATGGGCGTATTTCAGAGACTAGCCATTTTTTATTGACTCTGTTGGGAATGGAGAGGGAATAGGGCTTCATTTTAACGGACCAATCATCTTTACATGTGGTATTTTGTAACAATACAAATTGATATTTAGGCAGATGCAATAACATTCTATAGATATAAATACATGTGTTAGGTTTAAGGTGCTTTTGGGAGCCCGGGCAAGACGGAACCGATATCATATAGCAACTATTTTGAGGATATAGAAAAGAGGGCATCACTTTGTGCAACGTGTTTGCTTCAATCACTACGCAGTAACTCTAGAAAATTAACATAGCTGTAAGAGCTTTAACCTGTATTTAAACATGTCACATTTACCCGCTGACATTAGCCAATATCCACTTCGCATTAACATAAACGGCCTGTGCTGATTCTGCATGAGGTAATAAAGGTTAATTAGGGAACCTGAATATTTTAATTAAGTAAAGAAATGAAGTCAAAACACTGTCACTTCCTGCCCAGGGCGTCACACGCTAAGAGAAGTAAGTAACCTTTTCTCACATAGACATATCAAGGGAAACACATAACAACAAGACGGTGTCTTTTTTACGTGACTCTTAGTATGTAGTCATAGTTTTCTTTTTATTTCATCGTTAAACATACATTTTCAATCAAACTATACATTTGTGGTGGCAGGAAGTGTTTCTCCCCAAATGTGTAGATTTCGTTTTAATATTCTGCAATCCATTTTTAGTAGTACCCGGTGACCCGACAGGGCCCGACTTTTCTTGGCCCGAGCTTTAGGTACTCCCAACGAGAAGTTAATCGAAGCAACGAAAAAATAATTGAAGTAACGAGTAAATACTCGAAATTTCAAGTTTTTGATAGAAATTTGAAATAACATGTAAATATTTGAAATTTCAAGTATTTGACAGAAACTTGAAGCAACGAGAAAATATTCGAAGCAACGAGAAACTAATCGAAGCAACAAGAAAATAATTGAAGTAACGAGAAAATACTCGAAGCAACAAGTAAATACTCGAAATTTCAAGTTTGTGAAAGAAACTTGAAGCAACGAGAAAATATTTGAAATTTCAAGTTTTTTGAAGAAATTTGAAGGAACGAGAAATTAATCGAAGCAACGAAAAAATAATTGAAATAACGAGAAAATATTCGAAGCAACGAGTAAATATTCGAAATTTCAAGTTTCTGACTGAAACTTGAAGTAATGAGAAAATATTTGAAATTTCGAGTTTTTGATAGAAACTTGAAGTAACGAGAAAATACTCGAAGCAACGAGAAAAAACTCGAAGTAACGAGAAAATTATTGAAATAACGAGAAAATTATTGAAAAAACGAGAAAATACTCGAAGTAACGAGCACATAATCGAAGCAACAAGAATTGTAGCAGGAAAAAATATTTGTGCTACAAAAGTGGCAGCATTAGGCTTTCGTGAGGACGTGGAAGGCCCTAAAACTTGTTGCACGCGTGGTGGAGACTGATAAACACCGCCACAATGAATGAATGAATTTCTGTATTTCCTCGAGAATTTACATCCGAAGATTTACAATATCCCTGATGATACTCAGAGCAAATACATGATGTCAATATGTACAGGAATATAAATATGAGTCCCAGTAACACAAGCTGTACAAGCAAATAAAATATTCGATATCACCTATGTACACAAATGACAGGTATTGCTGCACAGCAGATGAAAAGAGAGGATGGTCTAATACCTTTTCAGATGAACCTATTTACAGAATAATAGCCTAAGTGATACACTTTCCCCAGGTGTCTGCCTGGCAATTCCAGGTAGTATTTGAGCCGAACCCCAAAATAGTGCAAGCATCTCATTTCCATCCCAAAGTTCAATTTGAACATAACTTTCAACATTCAGTTTGTCAATAAGGGCAGAGAAGAATTCATTTCGTTCAGGTATATAATACTCACGGTGTAGAAGTACATTTCTGTCATAATCAAGACCATGCTTCAAATTTGAAAGAAATGATAGTTGATCAACTGGGTTTTCTTTGATATTTGTTCCATTCCTTTGTTTTATGGGTCTTTATCCAAATCAGTTTACATCTGGTGAAACCAGGTGTCGAAATGGACATAAACAATCTTTGCGAAAATGTAAATTTGGTAAGAGAATCATATGTTTACATGTTAAATGAGCTAGAATGTCGTTAACGTTTCACAAAGTCGCACTGTGCCCACGGGTAACTAACACGAAAAACATATAGTGAGAGCACTGCTATATTTGGTAATGACGAAAATACACATTGGTACAGGAACAATATCATTTGTATAGTGTAACAATAGATCAAGTATATGAACCGTTGTGATATGTCCTTATACACCGACACACCCATTGTGTGCCAGGAGTGTTTTCCAAAAGTTGGTTCTCACCACACATTTGAGAACACGGTTTTTGAACATTCCTGCCCATTACTTTGATAAAGCGTTAGTTGAACATCTCCCACCACTTCTGACATTCACAGGGGCGGTGGGGTAGCCTAGTGGTTAAAGCGTTGGTTCGTCACGCTGAAGGCCCGGGTTCGATTCCCCACATGGGCACAATGTGTTAAGCCCATTTCTGGTGTCCCCCGCCGTGATATTGCTGGAATATTGCTAAAAGCGGCGTAAAACTAAACTCAGTCAGTCAGTCAGTCTGACATTCACACGTCGCTAACATAGAAAGACTTACTCATGCTAACTTTCTGATGTCGTACTGCGATCCTAACAAAAGCGTTCTCCAACTGACCTCCGGTACAGTAAACGCAGTAATCTCAGTAAATCCTGGAATGCCACCGCACATAGGAAGCGAACTTTGGCTAATTTGCATCCGTCTTCAACCATACTGTGCCATAACAGACGTCTGAACTATCAGTAGGTTATGTATCACAAAGCAATCGTACCGTTGAATATGACGTTGAGATATTGCATTCTATTCTTGATGGATTCTGTATTGCGGTATCTCTTTGGCGAACTCTGCGACTCTGTAGGATTGAGATCGAGACTTCTGGTAGGCCAAACATAGGAAATCACCAACGGCAAGTGCAACAACCCGTTCTACCCCATCGCCATATATCATCAGGAAAACTATGTTCATGTTCCTCAATATACCCAAGTACTATATGAAAGGCACACCTTGACGGTTATCAATATATAATTATGCAAACAATAATTCCACGTACTGATATCGATGTATGCAGTTGTTATATCAATAGACAGAGATAAGGCCATTCATGTATATGAAACACAAAAAAACTACAAAATATATGCCAGACACAGGCAGGCATCTAGACGGTGAGAAAGACACACAAAAAACATAACAATAAACAAAACAAAACACACACCCACCAAAAAAAACAACCCAGGAAACTATTACGGCATAAATATAGATTAGCCCTAAATATAGATACTACCATAAAACTAACAATCTTTTATAAAATGAATAACATTTTAACTCCAAAATATTTGAGTAATCTTGTCACTTCTGAGGTATCTGACACAACAAACTACAATTTCCGAGATTGTTCGAAACTTCCATCTATCCATTGTAACGTGCAAATTAAGCCAAGTCATTTCTCCCAGATACAGTAACATTGTGGAATTCTTTGGCTACCGATCATAGAGAATCGACTACCTTGGGTAGTTTTAGGAAACAGATTAATGTGTCAAATAATAATAGTCACAACTACTTAAATTTAAATTCTGGATTAAATCTTTGTCAGATTATCTATTCAATCCTCAGAGTCAGTTGCAGGGATCTTAACGCACATAAATATGAAAGATTTAAACCTTCAACACGCTCTTGTTATTGTGGCAATTGCTACGAAGACCCAATTCACTATTTCTTTTCGTGCGTTAATTACACTGACACAGGAAATGACACGTACTTTTATGCTAAAGGATACGACATAAATTCGTTATTATACGACCACTCTAATTGATCTACTGAAGATAATCTTGAAATGGTAGAGTCTATCCATGCTGGCATTGTCTTGTCAGGCAGATTTGAGTTTGTAAGTAGTTAAAACTAATACTTCTGACACAAATAGTTCTAATATTAGAAACAAGAAACTATTGTTTGTTTGTTACATGTTTTTCCTCATGATGTTTACACCGTGTTTGTGTCCCGGAGCGGTATTCATGTAAGCAACATGCTGCTTGTTTACCAATCTGGTTCCACCTTTGGAAATAAATATGTTTATACCATGAGATGTGCTCGATGGTCAGTGTGCTCATGGTCCCCTTAAATACAGATCAAATGCTGTACTACACTATATTCCACTCCAAGACGAGCCACACAGCTGGTATAGGACAGTATTGTTACTATCATAGTTCCTTGAGTGTTGGAAACTAAACTGATCATTTTAAAGTACGCCTGCTTATATACGTTTCGATATGGCTCTGGGCAGCAGTGAAAACCTTCCAAGTGGTTATTCGAACGGTGACCAGGGTTTTCTGTACCTGAAGCCTGCATAAAGTACTTGCTTTCAGTATTTTACTTTTGTAAAAAAAAGTTTTTAATAATCTATAGAGTACTTGCTGACCACCTTACTGGGATGTCGCAAACTCCGCTCTCTGGAGATCTGCCATTTTGATACCGAAAACTAATCACATTCCAAGACAAGAAGAAGCATGATCTCCCCTAAAACACCAGCTTATGTATAAGTAATAAACAATATGTTTATAGAGTATAATCTCTATCACACACCAGCTTATGTATAAGTTATAAACAATATGTCTATAGAGTATAATCTCCCCTAACACACCAGCTTATGTATAAGTAATAAACAATATGTTTATAGAGTATAATCTCCCCTAACACACCAGCTTATGTATAAGTTATAAACAATATGTCTATAGAGTATAATCTCCCCTAACACACCAGCTTATGTATAAGTAATAATATGTTTATAGCGTATATTCTCCCTTGAGATATGAGCTTATGCCCTTCCAGTATTTGTTTATAATCTCCTTTTGTGTTACCTGTTAACGAGTTTGGTACAGAGATAACTGGAGAAGTGGGACCGGTCTACTACGTTTCCTCCCTGGTGTAGGTGGATGTAGGAAACTAAAGTTGGGCAGTACAGTTCCTAGGGGTATTGTTGTTTGTTATTATGTGTAGTGTAGAGAAAATGAAGTGTAGGCGAATCGAGTTTGGCGAAATGAAGACACTTCCATGTATGAATTCGTGGGTCGTCATGACCCAGCACAGGAGGACGCTCACATAACAGATATCATTATTTGATATTCATGGCTGCATTGTACAGCGCTTGAATAGGTCTTATGGCAAGTCATTCAGTCAGTCAGTCAGTCAGTCCCTCTCACGAGGAACGTTGTGGAACTTTTGCGTTTTGATTTATAGTCCAATTTGAACCGGCTGAAGATTTGACCCAAAGCCAGGTTATTCTTTTTGATCTAACAAAATGTGTTGTGGTGTAGGAAGGCGTGTGGCATCTCTAGTAGTGTGGCAGGAATCGGGCGCTAATACCATCTAGTGCATGTTTTGTTTTGGTCGGTATTCGGACTGCCTGTCTGCGAGCAGGATAATACCTTCATAGGAAACTCCTCGAGGATGAGCCGGGACTCCACGCACCTCATTTATGTCTGAGCCAGCAAAACAGGTCATTGCCGTCTTGTATATCTGTTATGTATTCTGTATAGCCAGCTAACGAAGTTAGGACTCAACGTGCATTGCATGCCTTCGTCCTCACCAACGTATAATTCTCCGCAAGTTCCCCTGTTGACAGATATAACAGCTGGGTATAGTCGCCAGACATCGTTACCCGGTGTTTTGAACTTGTCAATCGCCTGATGCCAGTCATTTCAGGAAAGACACGCGAAGATCCGGGCTAGAATTGTTCTTCAGTAACCCATGCTTTTCGTAGAGGCGATTAATGGTATCGGGCGGTCAGGCTCGCTGTCTTGGTTGACATATGTCATTCTAATTTGATCGACCATGATGTTGATCACTGGATTGTCTAATCCAGACTCAATTATTTACAGACCACCTTCACATAGCTGGAATATTCCTTCGTGTGTTATTAAAAAACACAGAAACATTTCGGGAAAAGCGCATAGTTACCTTTCGCTGATATTATAGCATCACGTTCAACAATACAAACCAAAGCTAATCAAACAGCGACTATGTTCATGCAGGGTAAAGGGAAGTATTTGTGTGATGTGTAATCGTGTAAACATGAAAGGATCATGTGTAGATACATACATTGACTTCAATGCCTTCATCTTCTATCAAAGCACGCAGATCTACTTAATGGTGGAGTTAGAACGGTAAACGTGTACTTCCCACCACACTGATGTGATAACCTGCAGATCTACTGGAGTTAGATCGGGAAACGTGTACTTCCCACCACACTGATGGGATAACCTGCAGATCTACTGGAGTTAGATCGGCAAACGTGTACTTCCCACCACACTGATGTGATAACCTGCAGATCTACTGGAGTTAGATCGGGAAACGTGTACTTCCCACCACACTGATGGGATAACCTGCAGATCTTCTGGAGTTAGATCGGCAAACGTGTACTTCCCACCACACTGATGTGATAACCTGCAGATCTACTGGAGTTAGATCGGGAAACGTGTACTTCCCACCACACTGATGTGATAACCTGCAGATCTACTGGAGTTAGATCGGGAAACGTGTACTTCCCACCACACTGATGGGATAACCTGCAGATCTACTGGAGTTAGATCGGGAAACGTGTACTTCCCACCACACTGATGTGATAACCTGCAGATCTACTGGAGTTAGATCGGGAAACGTGTACTTCCACCACACTGATGTGATAACCTGCAGATCTACTGGAGTTAGATCGGGAAACGTGTACTTCCCACCACACTGATGTGATAACCTGCAGATCTACTGGAGTTAGATCGGGAAACGTGTACTTCCCACCACACTGATGTGATAACCTGCAGATCTACTGGAGTTAGATCGGGAAACGTGTACTTCCCACCACACTGATGTGATAACCTGCAGATCTACTGGAGTTAGATCGGCAAACGTGTACTTCCCACCACACTGATGTGATAACCTGCAGATCTACTGGAGTTAGATCGGCAAACGTGTACTTCCACCACACTGATGTGATAACCTGCAGATCTACTGGAGTTAGATCGGGAAACGTGTACTTCCCACCACACTGATGTGATAACCTGCAGATCTACTGGAGTTAGATCGGGGAAACGTGTACTTCCCACCACACTGATGTGATAACCTGCAGATCTACTGGAGTTAGATCGGGAAACGTGTACTTCCCACCACACTGATGTGATAACCTGCAGATCTACTGGAGTTAGATCGGGAAACGTGTACTTCCCACCACACTGATGTGATAACCTGCAGATCTACTGGAGTTAGATCGGGAAACGTGTACTTCCCACCACACTGATGTGATAACCTGCAGATCTACTGGAGTTAGATCGGGAAACGTGTACTTCCACCACACTGATGTGATAACCTGCAGATCTACTGGAGTTAGATCGGGAAACGTGTACTTCCCACCACACTGATGGGATAACCTGCAGATCTACTGGAGTTAGATCGGGAAACGTGTACTTCCCACCACACTGATGTGATAACCTGCAGATCTACTGGAGTTAGATCGGGAAACGTGTACTTCCCACCACACTGATGTGATAACCTGCAGATCTACTGGAGTTAGATCGGGAAACGTGTACTTCCCACCACACTGATGTGATAACCTGCAGATCTACTGGAGTTAGATCGGGGAAACGTGTACTTCCCACCACACTGATGTGATAACCTGCAGATCTACTGGAGTTAGATCGGGAAACGTGTACTTCCCACCACACTGATGTGATAACCTGCAGATCTACTGGAGTTAGATCGGGAAACGTGTACTTCCCACCACACTGATGTGATAACCTGCAGATCTACTGGAGTTAGATCGGGAAACGTGTACTTCCCACCACACTGATGTGATAACCTGCAGATCTACTGGAGTTAGATCGGGAAACGTGTACTTCCCACCACACTGATGTGATAACCTGCAGATCTACTGGAGTTAGATCGGGAAACGTGTACTTCCCACCACACTGATGTGATAACCTGCAGATCTACTGGAGTTAGATCGGGAAACGTGTACTTCCCACCACACTGATGATAACCTGCAGATCTACTGGAGTTAGATCGGGAAACGTGTACTTCCCACCACACTGATGTGATAACCTGCAGATCTACTGGAGTTAGATCGGGAAACGTGTACTTCCCACCACACTGATGTGATAACCTGCAGATCTACTGGAGTTAGATCGGGAAACGTGTACTTCCCACCACACTGATGTGATAACCTGCAGATCTACTGGAGTTAGATCGGGAAACGTGTACTTCCCACCACACTGATGTGATAACCTGCAGATCTACTGGAGTTAGATCGGGAAACGTGTACTTCCCACCACACTGATGTGATAACCTGCAGATCTACTGGAGTTAGATCGGGAAACGTGTACTTCCCACCACACTGATGTGATAACCTGCAGATCTACTGGAGTTAGATCGGGAAACGTGTACTTCCACCACACTGATGTGATAACCTGCAGATCTACTGGA